CATTCCATACCATTTATTGAACAGGTACAGCATAGAAGGCTTCCCTTCCAATGACTGAGACACAGCACAGAGACACAGGAAGCAGTTTGGTCCACAGTAGAATTCACATTGTCTGCTGTCTTTCCAAAACTCGGTCTTCCTCTCTCTAGATGTGTGACTTCCAGTTCTTTGTGATGGAAACTATTGCCCTGGGATGCCTCAAAGTTGCCTGTATCTGTCACAGTAATTGTGGCAGTGACCTCATCATTTTTCCCCATTATACTTTGTCTAACCAAGGAACTCACATTTATTTAAAAACTTCAGTACCAGACACTGTAAGGTAGATTATTTGAGAAACAAGTTAAATGGAGCCAATTTCTGGAGCCTACTTGAAGTGCATTGCAAGAAAATTTCAACGTGTGTTGATATTTTCCCTGGACTTCCTTTCTAAATATTTTTATTATTCTTTGAGCACTTCATAAAATATATTTTGATCATATTTTCCATCCCCCAGCTCCTCTCAGATCCACCCCACCTTCGCAGCAACCTGACTTTATGTTCTTTTTTTTTAAAGTTTTGATTTATTTACCTTCCTAATGATTTCCATCCCTCATGGGTTGACTCCATACATACCAATTTGGAGACTCATCTGTACATCCTTCTAAGAGACATTGGCTGTAACTATACTGACAATGTGAAAAAGAAAAATACTGTTCTCACTTCATACAGGATACGAGAGAGTTTATTATAAGCCAAGAGTGACCGTTGCCTGGGAACACAAATTCAGGATACCCCAAATTCCATGTTCCAACCTAGTAATCATGAGATGAAATTTCATGGTAACAGAACTCAGAAAGCCCCAAATCAAAACTCTTTTCAAATTCATTGGTAGAAACATCAGATATGGCCGGGGGGGGGGGTGTCTTACGGCAAAGTGGGAAAGCCTCTGCTGTAAGTCTGAGAAGCTGTCTGATGACATTCTTCATTTTGGGGCTGATGAAATATAGAGGTTCTCTTCGTACATTCCAAAAGAATCTACCTAATAATCCCAAGGATGCTAGGACACACACAGAGTTCAGAAATGAATGAGTATTAGAGGGGCTGAAGGTGACCCAAGACAAATTGTAACATTCCAACCTCTCCACAAATTCAGTCAGCCTTTGTAGAAGGCTCAGTGTTAGGACATGGCTACTTTGGGAAAATGTTAATTCACAATACTATTTTTAATAATCCAGTTATTCAATGAGTCCTATAGTTACAACCTAAAGTACTAGCCCTTGGGATTTTCATAATTCTTAATTGTCAACATAAAGGTAAAAAAAAAAAAACAAAAAAAAAAACCTTGAGACATTTGGCCATGGGGGCGACATAGATTTACAAACTGATTCTTTTCAATCTAGCTAAATTAAGTACGGGCGTTTTCGTTTCGCTTTAGAACTATTTTTTTTTAACAGTTTCAGTTTTATTTTGTTTTAGTTTCCAATACGTATTTTCTTACTGAACTGTACATTTCATACAAACATCTTCATCATACTTACACCCCCTCCCATATGCGTACCTCTCCCCATAGCCCAACCCACAGGTATTCATGCATTCTGTCGTAACTGTCAAGGTCTATCAAGTGAAGCTGGTGTCCCCATCTGTCCCTTGATGTAAGCTCATCCACTGAAGTCTGTTCAGCCTATCTTGCATCACTCCCTAAAAGAAGATTGCCTCTCCCTCACCCAGTGATGATCAGCCTCCAATAGTGCCTCAGCTAAGGATGGAGGCTCCTGCCCATTTTTCCACTTTTATGCTCCCATTTGTCCGAGTCTGCGTGGGTCTTGTGCATGCCGTCACCATTGCTGTAAGTTCATAGGAGCCCAAAAGCCTGGAAAACTCCCTCCTTTGGCTGTGCACCAAGCATGGGTGGTGCAATCTTTCTGCCTATTATTTATTTATTTATTTATTTATTTATTTATTCATTTATTTATTTATTTGTATTGCTTGACATTCTAACTACAAAATAGCTCTCTGCAAAGTGAGTTATATGCTCAGTCCTTGGTTGGATTTTTAAAAATCAGCATCTTCAGAGCTGGGGGACATGGCTCCGTTTGTTAATGCTGATTGCCGAAGCGTGAAGACCTGAGTTCAAGCCTAAGCACCCATCTGAATGAAAGAACTGACAATGTGCATCTGGACTGTCAGGGGAGGGGGAGTCTGGACGGGAAGATCTGGATCAGCCGACTTCCCGGTCGGCCACCCTCAGTAAATCAGTGTGCTCCTGGTTCAGTGAGAGACCCTGTCACAAAACCTAAGATATGTGATTGAAAAAGACAGGACATAAATTTTTTGCCTCTACATGCATGTGTACACTTGGACACACACATAAACACATATATGTACATAAACACATGTACACAAACATATAAACACACAAGATAGATTTACCCAAAGTGGCAGTTTGTAGCACTTTTGACTAAAACCTAATTATTTGTTTAATATTTTACTATATACTTCCCTGGGTAGCTCTGTGTCGTCTTTAACACTGGTTTTCATTCCTATCCTGGAGGGCTGGAGTCAGATGTAGCCAGCAAAGATTCAGGACAGATCAGGAAAGTGCTCCACAGGCCACACCCATCACTGAGGAGCTACTGGCAGTTGAGAACTGGTAGGGAGGGAGAATCGTTCGTTTTTGAGAGTGTTCCCCCAGGCAGGTTTCCTGTGCCCAGTGAACGGCCCACACCGGTGCCCATATGGGCAGCAGGAACTGGATTAGAAGTGGCTTATTAGCAACGTAAAGAAGGCTGGAGTCTGTGAAGGGACCATACTGGGAGAGATTCACAGAGTTGGATGGTGGCGAGCTGGAGCGGGTCTGGTCATATTTCATGGTATGCATGCATGAAATTCTCAAGCATGAAGAAAACTCCTTTTTAGAAAACTGGCATTGAAAATGAAAGGATTATCAGCCATTCTGAACTCCTGTCTGGGAATGCTGTTTTTCTCCGAGGCTAGAACTCACTTGACCAGCATAGACGGCACATACCAAGTACAGCTGTTCAAATGGATTCTAATGAAACAGAAACAAGAATTTCATCTCTTACTGCAACTGCTGACCTTTGAAAGGCTCCATACACATTCTGAGTACGAGTACCCTAACCACCATGTCTCTACCTTTCCACCTGCCTTACTGAGCTCCCATGAGCCTTTCCTCCAATGTGAATCTCCTTTATTTACTTATTTATTTTATGTGTACCGTGTGTAAGTACACCCTTGTCGTGCAGTGCCCTTGGAGGACAGAACAGGGTATTGGATCTCCTGGAACTAGAGTTAACAGATGGTTGTGAGCAGCCATGTGGGTCCTGGGAATTGAACCTGGGTCTTCTGCAAGAACAGCTAGTGCTCTTAACTGCTGAGCCATCTCGCCAACCCATGTGAATCTTCTATGTCAGCATGGCCAATGTGGCCGAGCACCCTACACTCTAGTTTTAACTGTGCCCTTACTATCTTTTAATCTGACATATAATGTTTTGTTCATGCATTTTGTTTATGACATACCTGGTTCTACTCATTCGTAAGATTCAAGAAGGCAGGCACTTCTGCATGGCTTTCACTACTGAAGGAAGATGAATCCATATGCTGATTGGTATCGTCTTTATAGTTAATGTGCAATCTACCTCTTCAGAGGGGGGAATGTTAGAGTAGCAAAAAGCTCCAAGAAAGAAAGAAAGAAAGAGAGAGAGAGAGAGAGAGAGGGAGGGAGGGAGGGAGGGAGGGGGGGAGGAAGGAAGGAAGGAAGGAAGGAAGGAAGGAAGGAAGGAAGTTAGAAAAAAGTGATGGGGAGATATGGGAAGTATTTGGAGGGGAGGGAGTGGGCGTGGATTTGATCAAAACACCTTATATGCATGTATGAAATTCTCAAAGTTTTTTTTTTAAGTTAAAAAAGAAAAACTGTATGTGCTATGTAAAAACGTAGCACCCCTCCCTATGAGTGATTTCCCTTTTAACTAAACACCGTGGGTTCCCACTTCCTGTTTGCTTTCATGAATTTAAACTTCTAGTCTGGTTCCAAATAGCTCAAAGCAAGTTCCCACTAGATCAACTAAATTTCATCAAAGAAGCTTTTTGTTGTTGTTGTTACCCTGTGAAAATCCCCATCAAACACTTGGCCTGAGCAGTTGGGACAAGATGCTAATCATTACCAAAGTGGGGGCCATTTCACACCCTTGGACACGGAAGTGTGGTTAATAAACACAAGACAGTCAAAATGGCCTTTCCCACGCTTGCAGAAGTGCTTGTAAGTTGTATTGTCTATTTTTCTCTGCAAAGGGAAAAAATATGTAGGCAATATGCCTCTCCATGCAGGGAATGGAGGTGGGTTAAAGTTCAGTGTTCCTGCCTGTGTGTGAAGCTCCTTGTCACCATTCAGCAGGGACAGAGACCTGCAAGGATACAATTACATAGCAAGGAGCAGATGGCCCTAAGCCTGCACTCTTCTCATAAGGCAACTTGGCTGTAGCAGGACTGAACCAAAAACAAGTATCAATAACGAGTTCCTCAGGGCTGAAGAAAAAGGTTTCTGATTCTCTGAGTTCCATGGCTTAGCATCTTTATCTAAGAAGAATACAACCGAGACTCTTCTCAGCTCCTGGCCCCCACCCCCTCCCCCTTCTAACATTGAGCCCAGGCCTGCTCCTGCTCTTTCAATCTCTGGACCACCTTTGTAACCCAAACTCATGTTTCTCTTGCAATGGGAATTAAGCATTCATTGTGTGTGTGTGTTAGCCCTGTTTGTACAGTTTTGCCTGTTACAAACTATTGGGTTTTTTTTTTTGCCTAATCTTCCTCCATCCTTCTCTTCCATTTCTCTCTCTCTCTCTCTCTCTCTCTCTCTCTCTCTCTCTCTCTCTCTCTGAAGAGTTTGCTCTACCACAGTCTTCTCCCATGAGGAGCTGACCCTGCCTCCTGAATGCAATGTAACCTGACAGGTGATGCACAGGGATGTGACTTTTATGCTGTCTTTGTGTGTTTTGATGTTATAGATCCAAATGTCAAGCGGTACCAGGTGCAGTGGTTTCCAGAACAGTGTGCCCATAACAAAACAACCAGAGTGGAGACGTCATCTGGCATGACCCACGTAAGGAGATGATTGTTCTAGTTAAGTTCTAGTACCTTCTAGGAGCTCCTCGGTAGGCACTGACTGGATGTGCAGGGTACGCATGCTACAGGTTTCCTGTTAAGCAGTAATCCAAGGAAATCTGGAAGGATAGTGTGTTCATTAAGCCCACTATTTCTTTATCTCTTCATGCCACCACTTGAGAGTTTTTTCCATGCCCCACACAGGGAAAGGTCTCTAAATTGCAGAGGCTAGAAACACAGAGATTAAGAAACTTGTAGGTTACAGAAGATGTCAGAGGACCTGCACTCTACCTCTTTCCTCCGGAAAAGCATTGCATTGTGTTTGGAGTTTTGACACAGCACTGAAATGTAAAGGCGTTGTGGTTGAGGATCTAGGGTTTTTGTTTTATTCAGTTTTGTTTGCATTACTGGAGGATTGAACACAGGGTATTGGACATCTAAGCGAAGTACTCTACTATCGAGTTAACAGTTATCCCTCTTAAGGGTTCACTTCTGTAAGAGTTTGTCACACTACACTTTTTTTTGCTGTGTCCCCCAGTGCCATTACCACATTGGGTTAATGAGAGATGTTATCCTTCTCCCTCAGCCTCACCGCTATCTAATAGGAACCCCAATTCTCCCTTCAGAGACCACCAGACAATGACAATCCATCTGTACTTTTCACCCCCACACATTAACATTTGGTATCTGTAAAACAGCACGGACACAGTTAACACAGCAGTCAAATATAGGAGAAACGTATCAGGAAAGGGGTTGGAACAGCAGATTTTCGGCGTGTGTTATTTCAAGACTGTCATTCCTTGGCAGCTCTCTCTGTTTCTAGAATGTTTATTTAATGACAACAGTATGGCAGGAAGTAATAACAACACTCCAAAATGAGGGAAAATACATCTCTAAACAGTATCATTTTTAACATTAAAAACATACATATGAGTCGGAGTTAAATTTTTTACTTAAAAAGTGTCGTCTGTGTTACAGCTTTTTACCGCCTTCCACACGACAAAACACTTGTGAATGTCAGGAGTCAGGACTGAGGTCAAGCCATTGGGGGTCTGTTGAGTTGTAGAGGATGTATTCCATTCCGTGGGAAGGTTTCACTAGTGTAATTCTTCCAAAAACAGGCAGGACGGCCTTTGTATGTCTTTATGAAAGCCACATTACACAGGCTCCATCTCTGGACAATTAGCTTTACTGGGTATGATTTCCACTGATGCCAATTTAGTTTTTATCCCTCGTGTGATGTATTATTGATCACTGACCTGCTCAATTTCTCTTGCCCAAGGAAAATTACATAATTCTTCAAGACCTGTCATTCTCCTGCAAATATAAGGTGACCGTCCAACCCATGCTGCCGAAGGGTCACTCAAAGGCAGAATCCGTTTTCTTTACTACGCCACCATGTTCCTCTTTGAAGGGAAAAAGCCACAAGTCCATAAATTGTCCTGGAGACCCAGGTAGGTTTTAACCCAAAGAACTTCAATTCCACATCTGTGTCTACAATGTTAACACTTCGAAAAGTGTTCCTAAAAGGTTACATCATCAGACCCTTCAAATGAAAAGCCTCCTGTTTCTAAATTCTAATATACTGACCCAGGCATTACTTATTTTATTTATTTGGTTGGGTTTTTTGTTTGTTTGTTTCTTTGGACATGGGTTCTCCCTGTAGCCCTATCTGAACTGGAATTTGTGATCTAGACTAGGCTAGCCTCAATCTCACAGATACCCATCTGCTTCTGCCTCTACCCCCCAAGCGTTGGGATTAAAGACTTGTGCCACCACGCCCAGTTGTATTTGTTATTTTATATTCATAATAGCATTACAACGATCTTCTTCCTCTGCAACATTAAAAATACTAAACAAAAAAGACCAAAAAAAAAAAAAATGAAGCACTTGGGATATGGGCTCTGCACACCTGAATTCACAGCATTAGTAAGGCTGAGGCAGGAGGATTGCAAATTTGACGCGTGGTTAGACTACATAACCAGTTCAAAAGCAGCCCCAGATATAGATGGAAAGATCCTGTCAGAAAGGCGTCTGAGGATGCAGCTGAGGTGTAGAATGCCTACCTTGAGTGTGCTCATTAGTACCGCAGAAAGTAAACAAAATACATGAACGAAACGGGACTAGAGGGATGGACGGAGTGAACCTAAAATTAGTTACTCGGAGATAAAAAGTACTTAGCACAAAGTTGAAGTGATGGGGCTGAGGACAACATGTCACCCTATGGCCAAGGGTTGATGGATGGGTTGATGGCGAAGGGTTGATGGACTGGAACCCATCCTCGAGGAATACTGTCGGGCTCGTCTCAGCTTCCTGTTGCGTGGGCTCCCCAAACCCCGTAAGATTCCAGGCACATACTTTGTCCGGCAGCCTAACAAACATTTCCTTGTCTGCGTCCACACAGGGCATGGTCTTTCCAAAGTGCTAGCCAAGCCAGAGAACCTCTCTGCTTCGTTCACTGTCCAGCATATGAACATCACGGGCCACTTTTCTTGGAAGATGATGAAAGCCAATCTGTACCAGCCTATGACAGGCTTCCAAGTGACATGGGCAGAGGTCACCACAGAGAACAGACAGAACAGTCTGCCCAACAGCATCATCTCACAGTCGCAGATCTTGCCTTCCGTACGTGTGGCCTTATACCCTGTATCCCTGTTGCGGGTACCCATGACTCGAACTCAATACCCATAGGCATTGTACATACACATCATGCTGGTTTCTGTCTTCAGTCTGATTTCTGCACTTTGTTCCTCATCTAGTAACATTAACACATTGCACAAATGACAGTGAACAGTACCAGCCACAATCTAAGGCTATTTTGATTAGTAAAGTGAGCTCCCAGAGACCTGGTCCCCTTTATGTGAGTGATTCAGCCATTTTCTTGTGTCTTCGTGAACCCCACATCCCTCTGGCACAAGCGGGCATGCCCTATTCAGAGCATTAAACTGGGAGAAAAATAGCTCAAAGAAGTTTCTTGTTTTTCTTTCCCCTTCAAATTTGGCCAGAGCTCATAATGAGTTAGACTGTCTTCCAAGCCAGTCAATTCCTTGGCTTGAGAGAAAAAAATCATGTGTGGGCTTTTACCCTTTCTGAAAACCTTCTCAGAATATCCAATACTTATTGCAAAATCAATACAGAAGGGAGAGAGTGCGGAGTCCAAGAAGGGAAAGTTCCCTGGAATGAAAAATAGTTACTTTATGATTGTATTAAATTTATTGAGTTTTGAAAATCATGGCCTGACAGTAAAAATAAGCATTTACCAGTTATGGGCATTGACAGATAAGATTGCATTTTAGGGAAAAATTCTTGGCTCATTCACTGAAATTCCGACTAGCGAGAATTCATATCACAAGATGTGCATCTCAAAATGTTAAGCCATGGGAAAATCTCATGCTAAGGAATTAAATAAAAGACAAGAAAAGAAAAGCATGGACTCCAAAGGCAAAGCTCTGTGCTGGCACCTCACCACATTTTGTCTCTGCCAAACATCTTGGGCTGTTAGGCATTGCATTGATCTAGGTTTTTTTTTTTTTTAAGTTTTGTTTTTTTAAAAATAAAACCTACATGGTTGGGTTTCGATAGATGATTCAAGGCTAAGAGCACTTTCTGCACAAGCCTGAAGACCTGAAGTCAAACTATAGCATCCTATAAAAAAAAAAAAAAAAAAAAAAATCAGGCATAGCCACGTCCACCTGGAACCCTGGCATGATGAGAGATGGAAACCAGATCTCTGGGGCTTGTTGGCTCTTAATATAACTGCAAGTTCAGTGAGAGACTCAGTCCCAAGACAATAAGGAGGAGAGCAATAGGGCAGGACACCTGACATCGTCCTCTGACCTCTGCAGATGAGCACACGTGTATATGCAGTCACGTGCCCACATGCACCAGCCAATGCCTAGTCACAACACACATAGATGACTCATATGGCAGCCAACTGCAGAAAGCTAGAAGAAACGTTCCGTGAATTAATGTGTGGCTTTGAAAAGTATCTGACCATGTGGGCATGTGGCTGCATATACATGCCATGTGGGCATGTGGCTGCTCTATCCCCTTCACAGAGCTTGTGTGGGTTCTTGGTGTGTTTTCCCTAGAAGATCACTGATGGACATCTCCTTTCATGTTGCTTCTCAGGACCACTATGTACTAATGGTGCCCAATCTGAGGCCATCCACCCTTTACAGGCTGGAAGTACAAGTGTTAACCTCAGGAGGGGAAGGTCCTGCCACCATCAAAACATTTCGCACCCCTGACCTGCCACCATCATCCGCACACAGTGAGTACCTTGCCTGGGTGTTAAAATAACAATGAGATTTCTGTGTAACAGTAAATTCTTATCTGAAATTCTTATTATTCATTTTTTTTTCACGTACTGGGTTTTATTAAAGGTTCTTGTGTGCTGTGTGTGGACAGAGCAGGTGCTCAGTGTGTAAAGTGTTTGCAATGCAAATGTGAGGTCCTCAGCTCTAATCCCCAGAACCCACATAAACCCGGAAGGGGTGGAAAGCATTTAAAATCCCAGCACACCTGTGGGGGGCGGGGTTACAGAAGTATCCCTGGGAGATCACGCTTTGCATAAGCAGTCCTCAGCAACCAAGACCCTACCTAAGAAAAGGCTGAAGGAGAGGACGGACACCTGTAGTTCTCCTCTGACCACATGTGCCCTACCACACACAACTCACACAGACACCTTCACACCCCACACACAGGAACACACACAAGCATAAGCAAAGATTTTTGTGGGTCAGGGTGTGAAGTTTGCTGCGTATGTTTGACTTCCTCTCTTTCCTTTGTCAGTTTTTCCTGCCTATGTCCTTCTTCCCTTCCCATCTCCCCCCCTCCTTCCTTCCCACCCCCCGCTCCCCTCTTCCTCCATCGTTCCATCCCTTCCTTCTGTCCCTCCTGTCTCTGTCCCTTCCACTCCCTGCCTTTATTTATCACAACATTTTTCCTCATCTTTCCAACTATAAACGGATAAAGAAAATTTTTTTACAGCATGATATCAATCTGAACGCTTTAGATTACACAGTTCAATAAAAGAACACAGGCAATGATGTTTTTCTAACGTGATTATTTTCTTATGATAGCGTTTTTTATTGATGTTGCGTGCACTATGACTTTTCATGTCTCTAACTAAATATGTGTACTTCAGTCATTTGCTACGTCAATAAAATCCAAGTGGAACAAGGCAAAGCACTCTTCAAAAACACCTAGCATTTTCATCATATTACTGATAGTTGTTTTATTTTTCTGGCTGATATTTAAAAAGTATTTGTGAACATATATGAAAATTAAGAATTTATCTTAGATTTACCTGATATGTCTTTAAAAGTAATGTTTCAATGACTTATTTTTTTAAAAAAGAAAGCCTTGTGAGCTTAGCAAAGGAGCTTGTCTTTTTTTTTCTCAGAGCTGAGGACCAAACCGAGGGCCTTGTGCTTGCTAGGCAAGCACTCTACCACTGAGCTAAATCCCCAACCCCATCTTGTCTTATTTTATGAGGGGGGAAGAAACAAAAAGAAGGGGGAAACGGGGAATGGAGAGAGAGAGCTGGGGAAATGAGTCAGTGGATAAGAGCACTTACTGTTCTTGCAGAGTACCTAAGTCCAGTTCCCAGCACCTACATCAACCACCTTTAACTACAGTTCCAAGGGATCTGACATGCTCTCCTGGCATCCAGGCAAGGATGGTACACATACAGACATGTAGGCAAACACTCACACTTAAAATAAAAATAAATAAATCAGAGAGGGGGGGAATACACAAGTGTTTGCAAATTTGGATTTAGGATGAGAAAAGCCCATTTCATATACAGCCTTATACGATCAGCTGAGTCTGAAGCAATAACCAGAAAAAGAAGTATTGATTCATTATGTCCAAAGTGATGTCACAGATGGCTTTTCTCACCTTTCAGGGTCTCATCTTAAGCATCACCACCCACACCACTACAAGCCTTCTCCCCAGAGATACTGAAGGATTACAAGGTGCCTAAACGTTGCACAGGTGCGACGCGGCCTTGAAGTCAACAACTAGACAAGTGGGTAGTGATTTTTCCTGTGCTGCCTATAGTCACTGAAGAAAGGACTTCAGTCAATCACAGACACATCTAGAAGAAACAAGTTGCTAATAGTCAACACTGAAGATGGACATCAACTGCAAAGGAAAAGGAAGAAAAGAAAGAATACGTTGATTTAACTTGGAATTTGATTGATTGAATATGGTTTTTGTAACCTCTGTTCAATTACTGAAGAGATGAAATTACCTTGAATTTGAGCCAGCAAATTCTCCAAAACCGTACTGCATAGAAGCTATAGAATTCCTGCACAGAGTAGGCATATATTTAATCGGTACAAAAGATTATGATTAAATGATTTCTTTGATTCCTGCAATTAACTAAGACTGTGGTCTTTCAGCATGAGATCTGGAGATCTATCAGAATGTGGTTTTTATCTCAGAAAATTTTAATTGAAAGTTTATAACGTGAATTGCACCCATCTTTTTTTATTTTGCTACAAGATCTTACATAACCCAGGTTAGCTTCCAATTCAGGATCTGCCTCAATTTTGCAAGTGCTAGGATTATAAGCATATGCCACCACACCTAGCTCTTGTGTTCATATATTTAAATGTAAAAATGTTCCCATTGTAAGCACACTTTAGTTCTTTTAAAAACAAAGTAAAATGAAAGCTGAATTTGTAATGTATGATTTACAAGATATCTAAAGGCAGTCGGGCGGATGAAATAAGAATTTGCATTAGAAAAATTAAAATTCTTTTCTCCTGGTACTCTCTAACATGTCATCACCCAACTGCACAACTCACTAGTGGTAGATAAAGACGCAGGTCCTCTAAAGATCTTAAGGACAATAGATTTTCTTCGTGATTAAGCACCTAGGAAGGCTTCCCAGCTTCTCTCTCAAGGGCTGCAGCACGAAAAGCAGGCGTGTTATCTGTGCGTGTCCATAGAGGGCTTCGCTGCTCCAATGCCTGCAGGTGCGTAGACTTTTCTTAGGATGGTGCTCACAGGCCCCCTGAGTCTTCTCTGCAGGGACAGAGGAAAACCGGTCTCATCAGGATGCTCTTATCTGGATGTCCGCGCATATTTTACCAAACAGTCTGGGCGTGTGGACAAAAGATAATGGAATCTGTTTCTTCTGCGTCGAAGTATTTTAAAGGCAGAGCATGTACAGAGAGACGCTCGCGGGTTTTGTATGAGCAGCACACAGCGGTGAGCTCAGAAAGGGAGTTGGGGTGGGTTGGAAGGGCTCAGCAGCCGCTGTTGTAAGTTAGGACAGAGAAACGGAAAAGTGACTTGGAAGTCAGCAGCTTCTGAGAGTCTGTCCATGCAAACAAAAGGAAGGTTTCTTCCTTCATAAACCCGCCGGGTAGCGTAGTAGTAGCAGCAGCCTCTGAATTTTTAGATCTTCAAATTTCAAACATTTAAACGGAATGATTGGTTACACGTTTATCTTTGACCTTAATTTGTTGTGAGATATTTCAATTATTTATGGCGGCAGCGTTTTGTACTATTGTATAGTTAAAAATGTAAGAGTATATTCATAGACACAAAATACTATTAAATTATATGGAATTTAATTTTAGAAAGTTTAATTATGTTCTTTTTTCTGGGTAAAAGGTATGGAACACTACATAGATTTTTAGTGCAGTGATGTCTCAGAAACATGCCCCTTCCTTCAAAAATTCAGAACTGCATTTATAAATGTCTGGTTTTGCTACGTTATTCAAACAATTAAATTTTATTTGTTACTAGAAGGAAACGCTATCCATAAAATAATAAAAGAACTAAGTTTATCTTGAATATTGATCTCCAGTAAAAACAGTTAAAAATATGATTTTAATTTTTTTGTGTTTTTAGTTTTAGAAGGAAGTGTCCTGATAAATTGACAAAGTCCGTTTCCATCCTGGAAAAGTTCTAATGTCTCGCTTTCTATTATTTGTATTTCTCTCCTATTAAAAAAAGCAGCAGTGACAATGAGTGTTTCAAAACTCAAAATTATAATATTGAGTTCAGACAAAAAAGATTCTCCTCAAACATAGCTGCTGAGCTCAGACCAAGTTTCATCTTGTGTGTTCTTTTCATTGAGAATACTCATTTCTTGATGATGAAGTTTTCTGTTCTACACTTTTTTTTTTTTTTTGAGACAGGGTGTCACAAAACTGGGCTAGTCTCAAAGTCTGTATGTAGCTGGAGCTGCCCTCCTGACCCTCCTGTCTCCATCTTCTGAGTGTTGACATTACGACTGTGAGTCACCATGCACTCACTATCTTTGTGTCAATGGGGAGGATGGAGCCGATCTTTATGCATGCTAGACACACACTGTATCAACTCGGCCTCATTCCAGCCTGTCATGTTTTTTTTCTAAGCAGAGTTCTGTAGAATTTTTTTTAACCAATCTAAGATTTGTCAATTCAAATCATTTGTTATTTAATATGACATAGAGGCCTCACCAGTAGCAAGGGGTAGTTCACACGTCTCTGCCTTGCAGTTCAAAGACCCAAATTTTGCATTGATGTCCATTGAAGAACCTAATTACAAGACTGAATGTTGAGTTGTGTCTCTATGATGCAAGTTCAAATATTAACTCTGCCCCGCATACCTGTAAATGCCATTCAGGATAGCAATTTATTTATTTAATTCCTTTTCTTATCCATTGTGACAGTGGTTCCTCGAGGTCACACATTCCTGTGGTTACAGCCAACTCTCAGTCTTGTGAAGCAAACATTGTCATTCTAACAAGAACACAGACTGCATGTCCATTAAAGCTGGTTTTAAAATACAAGTGGATCCATGAGGTGTTGATTCAGCATGGCCTTGTTTGCTGTCATGTATTGGGTGTGGGCTCTGATGGCTGTCTGACTTCTACTGAATACTTTAGCAAGATATACAGTTTACACAGTGATTAACAAAGGTCTATACATAGTTATTGCTTTTCCTTCACTTACTATTGTAGTGTGCAGATGATAAAACTGTTCCCACCTTGTTCAAACAGCCTATGACCTCTCCTTCCTTGTGCTCGTGTTAAAGTCAATATTTATTTATGTATGTAATTAAAAGGTTTGGTTTCTGTGTGTGTCTATCATGCTATGTAGACAGAAGTAATCTTGTAAAAAATTCTTTGTAAAAAATACAAAAAATATTGTAAATAGTCCAATATTCTGTGATCCATCTTTTCCATGTTATGCTTTGTACATAGATTCATTAATAAAGTATGCTCAAACAAGGCTTCAGAATATAGTTATTTATTTCCTTTCATTTATCTCTATTTTCTTTCATTTACTCTCTTCATTTATCTCTACGTTAAAGAAACATTTTAATTTTCATTTACGAAGAAAACTGGCCACCTATGGTAGCATACGCCTTTTAATCTCAGCACTCAGGAGGCAGAGGCAGGAGGATCTCTGTGAGATCAAGGCTAGTCTTGTCTACATAGTGAGCTCCAGGCCAGCTAAGGCTATGGGAGACCCTGTCAACAAAAGAAAGGAAGAGGAGGGAGGAGGAGGAGGAGGAGGAGGAGAGAGAAGATGGAGGGGGAGGGGGAGGAGGAGCAGGAAGAGGAGGAGGAAGAGGGGAAGGGGGAGGAGGAGGGGGAGGGGGAGGAGGAGGAGGAGTGGGAGGAGGAGGAAGAGGCAGAATGAACATTTTATTGTGTTTACAAGGAATTTCAAAATAAGTCACCCTCAGTAAGGTGATGATTGAAATGTGTGGTCTGGTCAATGTTCAAGAAGAAACTCTTTGTTTTTTCTTTTGTTTTTTTGAGGCAGGGTCTCACTGTATAACCCTGGCTGATCTGTAACTTGCTATGTAGACCACACTGGCATCAAACTCAGATCCGCCTGCATCTGCCTCTTGAGTACTGGGATTAAAAGTCTCTGCTATCACTCCCTGTCTGAGAAAAATTCAATGAGTGTCTCAGAGTTTTATAATGAACATTTTAGAGGGATTTTAAAATTACATTTACAATTGCAAGCCCTAATCCTTTGGTGGTACTTTTGAACAATCATCTGTACAATTTTAAGTTGCCTAGATGTAGCACTAACATTTGCTATGTATGCAGTGCTGGAAGCATCGTGAACATGCCCGTTTTTCATTACTACTATTATATTGGAGGATTTTAAATATCAAAGAAAAGGGCTTTCTACACTCCTGATTTGACACTAAATATCTGCTGATGAATTGCAAGAATATTATTCCATCAAGCGTAGAAAACAAAATGGTATTATCTAAGAGTATCTGGCTCGTTTTTCTCTTCATAAAACCACAGGCTATGCATTAATTCAGGGAACATTTCCCTAGCTTCTGCTCCTTGCTTGGACTGCTCGGAGAGATGGGACCTCAAGAAAGATGGATTTTCTTATTTGTTGCATTCTTTAACACAGGAGAAAATGCTAGACTGTGATGGAGACTCAAGACATACTGTGTAAAGGCAGGTGATGGTAAGGGCTGCGGTAACAAAGATGGATGATATCGCGTTAAGAGCAACCCTACGACTCCTGGTCCATTCAGGGTTCAACTGATATTCCACCTAGAGGTCCGCATTAGAGCAAACATCTTACCCACAAGATGAACACATGCGAGGGGTGAGAATACACACTGAGAGGTGCAGGGCCTGGGACATTGCCTGGAGACTTCAGATGGGCTGGGTTTAGACGTTGGCAGTCTCGAGACATGTTCAACATTCTAAATGGTCACCCTGCCTGTGGTACCTAGAAAGACTTGTGGAAGGACAAAACCACACAAGAACAGCAAGCAGAAAATCATGACCTTAACCTAAGGAGCAATAACTGACAGGTTTAAACTCAGTGACCACACAGAGAACAGGAAGACTCTTATATTTGACAAGAAGTGTTGAATGTGGGGTGATCTAAGAAAATGAACAGAACTTCATCTTTTGGCTGTTTAACTAGATTATAGATTCTTTGTTGTTTCCTATTTTCTCTTATAAAAATTAGGAATTGGGGTCTGGAGAGCTTGCTCAATGATTAAGGGCACTGGCTGTCCTTGCAGTGGACCTGGGTCTGGTTCCCAGCCCCCACATGGCAGCTAACAACTGTCTACCCTTAACTCCAGCTCTTGGGGATCTGATGCCCTCTTGTGGCCTCTGTGGGCATTGCAATCACACATGATGCACTTACATAAATGCAGACAAACACTCATACAGATAGAATAAAATAAATAAGCAAAAGGAATTTTTAAATTAGGAATTTATTTTCTGGACAAAACTCACTTAAAACTTTGCCTTGTTATCTTGAGTAACAAACGCCATTGTAAGGAGCTATTGTTCTGATTGGTGCCTAGCCATTTTCAATAAGGATGCATTATTTAAAACCAATGCTGTTTGTGGTGATACACTCCTAGAATCTGAACAGTTGGGAGGGTGAGGCATGAAGATAGTGAGTTAGATCTTACATGACTCTTACATCTACTAAAAAAAAAAATATCAGTACCACGTAACTTCTAAGAACAAATACAGTCATGTTAAGTTTTAATACAGGTACCACTTAGTGATTCTTGCCATTGGCTTTCGATTTCTGACCTTATTTGCAGTGGAAATCATCCCTGGGATTTTCAAGACCAAGTAAAAATGATCACATGGTCCACCATGTTATTAGCTCTGATCTTGATGGTGCAAGTGTCACACATTAGGAATGTGATTCTGAATTCCTCCTGAGGATGGTATATTGCGTTCCACATGAGGTCATCTAGGAGGACATTGTGAGTCCTGCTTCATCCACCCCACTGTGAAGCCAGCTACTTGAGGCACTGCAAAGCTGGGGTTTGATTCAGAAGGGCTGGTATTCCTGAGGTATAGACTGGCTTAAAAGTTGCAAGAAAAGCTAGTCCATCCTCTGCCACATTATTTTTTACCTATAGAGGCACACTGCAGATTTAGCAAAAGTTCAGGCTTGTCCCAATGTCATGGCAGGCATCCAGAAATCCTATAAGGATATTCAGCATGGTTGACTTTGGAGTGAGTCCTGAGAAGTTGACTTTGTTATAAATGGAGCAGCATAGACAGATGATGGATGATAGATAGATAGATAGATAGATAATAGATAGATGATAGATAGATGGAAAGATAGATAATAGATAGATAGATAGATGATAGATAGATGGATAGATAGATAGATAGATAGATAGATAATAGATAGATAGATGATAGATGGATAGATAGATAGATTGGTAGGTAGATGATAGATGATGATAGATGATAGGTACATAGAGATATGGATAGATGATAGATAGATAGATAGATAGATAGATGATAGCGACATGAATAGATGATACATACATACATAGATGATCATAGATAGATTATAATAGATGATAGATAAATAATGTAAGATAGATAGATAGATGATAGATAGATGGATAGATAGATGATAGATAGATGGATAGATAGATAGATAGATTGGTAGGTAGATAATAGATGATGATAGATGATAGATAGATAGATAGATAGATAGATAGATGATAGTGACATGAATAGATGATACATACATAGATAGATGATCATAGATAGATGATGATAGATGATAGATAAATAATGCCTAGAAATACAGATATGTACACCAGTCATTGGCAAAACATGGCATTACAAGACAGGAGACCTGTAGTCTACAGAATGAAATTTTAAAAGAAAATAAAACAGAAACCAAAAAAGAAACAAAGAATTGGGTTCCCATAAAATGTGCCCAGACTTGCCTTGCACTGGGTGTTGTAAAAAATTTGTCAGTTGCTTTACGGAGTCTGTAAAAGATTTGATTCAGATATGTGACATAGAAACCAAATTTCTCTGTGTGTGTGTGTATGTGTGTGTGTGTGTGTGTGTGTGTGTGTGTGTGTATACACATGTCTGAGCTGTATCCCATAATCACAGTAAGAGACAGAGGGTTTCTGATACCTAAAACAATTTAATGCAAGTCATAGAAAAATGATTCAGTTAGTGTCTGCATAAATACTTTTTATCAGCCAAACCTAAGTGTAATGGGACATATTTTAGAATAAGACAGAAAATTATACAAGATTGTCAAATTTGGAGACCATAGAAACAACAGTTCAAAAGAGCAAAGACTAAAATTTTAAAGAAACACAAATAAAAAATGTTTCAGAAAGAAAGCATAGCAAATTAAAACTGGATTTAGCTTCCATTTCAACTCAGTCAAGCGAACACAGGAGAACATCAAGAAAATACATGTCAACAAGTCCTGGGGTGGATATATGGAATGGGGACACTTATACACTGTTGATGGTGGTGTAAGTTTATGCAACCACCATGGCAATCAGTATAAACTTTCCTCCAAATCGAAAATTAAGACTACCCCGGGGACTGAGCTATATCACCGGTTGGTGATTATCAGGAGTGTAAGTCAAATATACTCACCTATCCATCTTTATCGCTTGCACTATTCAAAATATCCAGGATATGAAACCAGCCTGGATGTCCATAACAGAGGACTGGATAGAAGAAGTGTGGTGGACAGTCACAATGAAATTTTATGCAGCCATAAAGGAAAATGCATTCGTGACATCTGCGGGAAAATGGATAGAACGGGAAATCACCGTACTACGTAAGACAAGTAAGAAGCACAATGACCGATACTGCATGTTTTCTTTCATATGTGGAATGAAGATTTTAATGGCTTTTTATATGTTTATATATTGATAACGTGTGTAGGTTATGAAACTAGAGCGGGGCTCGAGTGGAGGAAGAGATTGTACGGGGGGCGCTGGGAAAGAGTTGACGAACACAGGTGATGAGAAAGCAGGAAGTCAGGGAACCAGGTGGATGCGGAGGGAGGGACACACATGGCAGTAAGGGACAGAAGAGAATTAGAACAAATTATATAAATATTTTAATTATTATTTTTTTTATGTGTATGGATGTTATGTCGGCATGTAGGTAAATATACCCGTGTCATGCAGTGCCCACAGAGGACAGAAGAGGCTCTTGGATCCCCTGGAACTGGAGTTACAGACAGTTGTTAGCTGCCATGTGGGTGCTGTGATTCGAACCTGGGTCCTCTGCAAGAACAGTCAGTGTTCTTAACCGCTGAGCCATCTCTCCAGCCCCATAGAACAAATTATAATGCCACAGAGCATACCTATGAAGATACCATGCTGAAACCTGTTCCTTTGTAGACTAACCTAAAATTCACCTTTTTAATTTAATCTGTTTTTCAGTCTTTGGCAATGTCACACCTGAATACAATATTTCT